GGATAATAAGTGACACACATATTAACAAAATGTGTGACAGCATTAACCCTCAGCTGTTAACATTAACATTGATCAATAACATTTAAAGACCTCAGTTAGTGCTTCTAAATTTAGCCCATACATTTAGCAAGTGCTAATCCATTAATGAATTTTAAAAAAATAGCAAAAGCCCTAAAGCACTAATCAAAAAATGAGTTCCCCTATTAGTGCTTTAGGGGAACTGTGCCCACCGCTGCTTCTTGGCAATAAATCTTATAGCAGCACCTGACTGGCAGCACCAGGGGGGACCAGAAGCAATCAATAGCAACAACAAAATGAGCTGTTTGGCAGAGAAGATTTGGTACATTTTTTATGTGCGCAACCCACACATTCAGCTCTGCTGCTCATCCCACAAATGCATGTTCCTTACAAATTTGGCATTATTTAAAAGAGAAATTAACAGGCTTYCCAACAGTGTAAGATTTATTAGATTATTGCCAAGAACAACAGAAAATAATCTATATTWCCATACTTTTTGTGCTTAGTTTAGCTTTAAAATGTTTTAATGTTAATACAAGGTCCTGTACTCATTCTGTCTTACTGTATAGAAAAATAAGTTTGTTTTTTAGTTTGTACTTACAAAGTGCAAAGAGAGAGAGGAAACAGAAAATGCTTCACTGATCCCCCTCCAAACCCTTTTCCCATRTTTCTGTGTGATTTACTGCTGACCGTCAGGTGACAGGAAAGTGCTTTCAGGAGAGACAGAATAACAGGAAGAGCAGCCAGGAATATAAAGAGGCAGAGCCAGAACTGTTTTCGCTGCTCTCTGCRTGTCACATTTTTCCCTCAACAAGGTGCTGCCACAGCACAAAACAGAAAAGGACAAGGACACACAGGTGGTTATCTTCCACCTCGTTGTTGCCCTCTGCCATAAAAGGTGGGCMGTGTTAGAATAATCTCTGTGGAATTTTCTGTTTAACAAAATATCTCATGAACTGCATATTATTAATAATTATTAAAGATGGCTGCCACACAGTTTTTTTCCCTTCACAAAACATGTTCTTTAATCCGCAGCTAAGTTGTTGGAACAACATGGCTGAACTTGCTACATAATTGTTCTTTAAAAAGCAACAGCTTTACAGTTTTCAGACAAGATGGGAGTGACGACAAATACTTTTCAGATGCAGTCACGTCATCAGAATAAAAATAATTTTCTAAGTTGAGTTTCTTTTGAAATTAGGTCTGAGAAGTAGCGATGCATTTCCTTCGAACACTTCATTTGGTCACAGCTCCTGCTATCGTTTAGCACTTTTTTTTTGTCTGCGCTGCAGTTTCCATGACAGCTTTCAAACTGGCACCGTGCTGTGACTCACTGTCCTTCTCTTCAGGCCGTGGTCGTTCTTACACAAGAGATGTGCAGCACAAGTTGTTTCTGATGAGCTGCGTAAAAAAAAGTCTCTGTTCTTCCTGTTGAGTAACTGCTGGTGTGTAGAAAAATAAGTAAGGGTGGGGCGCACATCAGTCTAGTTTTCTTATTTTCTTATTTTTGACAGCCATGCCTCGGTAGACCCCAAGGCTGATGATTTAGTCCTTTGTCGTACATTTTATGAGTTTATTTTTTAAGCACGTTTTAAAACAGACAACTAAATACGCCATATAAATCCTTTTTTAACTGTTTGTATTGCACATCTCCATAATGACAGATGACTCATAATCACATGGGTGAGTCTTGTTTTGGAAAAGATAGAGTACAAGGACATTTTGGACTACATTTTTTTTGCACTCCAAACAAATATGTTTCAACAAGTCAGACAAACTGTTACAGTCTGTTTTACAAAGTGTAGATGCTTCAAAGTAAAAATCAAGACTGTGGCTCTGCCTCAGTTCAGTCTCAGCCCAAATGTTATGTAAAAAGAAATCCTCAATTATTAAAAGATGATTAAAATGTCTTGTTCAGTTCAATTCAGACTAAAGCGTTTAGGAATATATGATTTATTTGAACAASCTGCATTTAGCAGCACAAAAAATTTGCATTATTTTGAAGAAATACAAACTGTTTGTTGCCGTGTGTGCCAAAGATTTAGGTAGAAATGTTGGCATTTGTCAGTGCTCAGGGTGTTTGTTGAGCATTACTCTCAGCTACTACTTCACCAAATTTCGTCTCACTGTCTGTGAAATTGACCAAGTTATATTGTATATAGCAATATGAAGGCCTCTAATACTGTTCAAATTTATAACCAACAATATCTACTTCAGGGATGGAGAATTGGTGGCTCACGGGGTGGATGTGGCCTTGGGTTGACTTTGTCCAGCCCACCAATGAAGCCCCTCCTACTTTTTCCCCTTTTTTTGGTTCTACTTCAAAAAGCTCTTAGAATCGAAAAGCTGCTTTGAGTATATTTTTAGATAAAAAATAGATGAATAGAAAAAAATTGTTACCAAATTTCAAGACAAACCTATGTGTTTAGCCTGCTTAAAAACGTTGGGCCTCATGCAAGAACATGTTTGTATTTTTATCCTAAATTTCTCTTACTTTTGTTCGTACAAAGGG